TTATGGTCACTGGCCGTGACGTCCGACGGGGGCGATCCTGTACGTGTTCACAGATCTATGCAGTATGAATTATGGTAGACTGCAGACTTCCCGGAGCGTCGGTCGGAAGTCTGCAGTCTGTGAACACGTACAGGATCGCCCCCGTCACTACATCAGATTTGATAGACCGCAAATCCTCGCTAAAGAACACCGATTCCTTCCAAGGATGATTCGCGACGCTATTGAAATCAAAAAACATCCTAATTTCAATAGAGAAGATGGCTGGGTGCTACCATCTGCTTGGGATCCTATAATAAATAAAATTAAATCCCAACCCAAGCATACAACTGCAAGACTTCAAGATTCCATAAGTTCATACTGCATAGATCGGAACAAAAGTTAAATTTTAATCTATGGTAACCGCGGTTAACTATGACATATGGACGTTGAACATCTCAGTCCTGCCCGTGACCATGAGTGCTGTAAAGCGTTCGAAACGTCGGGTATTTAAAAAGTTAAAATATACGCGATAAATTCCGTAAAAAGTAGTATTATTTCAATGTGTAGTGTTCGCGTAAATATAAGAAATCATTACAGATTAGATATCATTATTTGTCATCATCAGTATTTATGCTGCTGATTATACGAGTAGGTATCCCCTAAGGAATTCCGCAAAGCTTTGTCCTGAGCTGCCTGCATCGTTCATATTCCTGCATCGTATATCCTCTCGATCATGAACTGTCATATCTGTGGTGGCTGAATTCAGCCACATCATAGAATTGGGTTATTTTTGGCCTTAAGATTATAAAAACTGTAATAATATCTCCAGTTCTATATTGAATTAAGGTTTTATTTTCTTTATTCATTACTTAGAATTATTTTCTGTTCCTATTTATTTAAATCATACAACTGCAATAATATAACAAATCTGTTATTATATTATTATTACTATTTATATTTTTTTTACAGCCAAGTTTATAGTGAGCAAGGTCGCGAATGTTATTGCACTGAGAAAGAGAAAGAAAGTCACGAGTTTTGACCCGTATAGTAATGGCAGAATTCAGCCAGCCCAGACGCGAGATTTTTTTGTCAGGCTGAATTCTGCCACCGCACAGGTGAGAGGATATTTACCGTCACTCCATTTAGTGGGGCATATACTGCCCTACACTTCGCTTCTTCCATCAGTTGCCGGTTGTTCGAGTTATATGGCTGGCCTATGGCCACTTCAGCTTTCTGATCCGTTGGATTATGTTGCTTATTATGATTCTACTGTGAATATTCTTATTACGAATTCAATCACTCAGACAAACTCCGAATATGTAGCGCAGAGTATGTAGCTCTAAATAGTTTGATTAGGATATTGTTAATTCAATGTAATAGTTTATTATGAAGTTAGGAATTGACACGCGTTCTTATACCTTTATGAGTGATATACATGGTAGCTGTAGCTGGCTTGACCACTGTTTAACAACTCAGGCTGCATGGAAATCTGTAGTTACAATTAAAATTCATAATGACGTTTATTGGTCAGACCATTTCCCATTAGAGGTGCAGTGTGATCTTAGAGTGGTTAGGCGTAGGTCACTGTCGGTTCAGGAGTTGATAATCAATAAAGTAAAATGGGGTGAGCGTACTGTAATTTAAACCAAATTGACATGTATAGTAAATATTGTAACGACAAATTAAGAGAAATCGATTTCCCGTATGAACTAAGTCAGTGTTGTGATAGTATGTGTGATGTTTTAGCACATCGATCTGTAATAGATAAATTATATATGTCCATTGTTAATATTTTGTGTGAGGCCTCTAAGTACAGTTACGATAGTGATCGCGAGCGGGTGATAGTCAAAAGGCGTGGTCGACCAATACTAGGGTGGAACTGCCACGTGCGCATGGGAAACCGCATGGTGGGTATATTTATAATGATATGATGGAATCTAAAAGAGTATTTAAACGAAAACTTAAGTTTTGTCAAAATAATCAAGACCAGATCAAGATGAATAAACTAGCGTATCAACATAGGAATAAAGATTTTCGTGGGTTTTGGAAGCATACTAAGCAGTTGAGTCCTAGAGCAGGTACCCCGGTGAGCGTTGGGGGTGTAAATGAACCGGCGAAGATAGCCAATCTTTTTAAGAGTCAGTTCCGGGTTCAGTCTTCTTTACAGTCACATGTTAAAGTCGATGCTGAGGTTCATCACCATCATTGGTGCATCAACTCATGTGCCCGATCGCATCACCGCCAGGGAGATCGCTGTTTTGATAAATGGCATGACTGGAGGAAAGTCACCTGGTCACGATTGCCTTAGCATCGAGCACTTTCAGTTCGCTGGTCCGCACTTACCTAGACTACTGGCGCTCTTTTTCACCCTATGTATGAGACACTACGTATTTGCCGGAAGAGCTGATGAGAACGGTCGAAGTTCCGATTTTGAAAAACAAAACTGGAGATATTTCAGATATGTGCAACTATCGGCCCATTTCATTAGCGACAACTGCGGCTAAGATACTTGACAGTATGCTTGAGAGACAGTTAAAAGTACATATTAAGTTAAACGATGTACAATTTGGTTTTAGATCAAATCTATCAACTGAGTGTGCAATATTGTCGCTGAAGCACACTGTGGGGTATTACACTGTAAGGAATACGCCAGTGTACGCAGCCTTCCTGGATCTTTCAAAGGCTTTCGACCTTGTCAGGTATGACATTCTGTGGGATAAATTGCGAAAAGCTGGTCTACCCGTCTCGTACATTAGTATTTTTAGCTATTGGTACGATCATCAAATTAATCAGGTAAGGTGGTCTAGTGCACTGTCGGACGAGTACAGATTGGAATGCGGTGTGAGACAAGGGGGATTAACCTCACCTACGCTTTTTAATTTATATATAAATGAACTGATTGATAGACTCGGGAGTGCACGTGTCGGCTGCTCTATTGATGGACTCTGCATGAACAACATTATTTACGCAGACGACATGGTGCTTCTGAGCCCGGCAGTCTGTGTACTCAGACGGCTTTTGTTCATATGTGAGGTTTATGCAGAAGCACACGGTCTAAAATATAATGTTGCGAAGAGTGAGCTCATGGTGTTTAAGGTGGGCACGAAGAAACCAAATTTCGTACCACCTGTAACTTTAGGGGGTGTTGCACTTAAACGAGTAACTGAATTTAAGTACCTAGGCCATGTTGTTACCGAAGATTTAAAAGATGATATAGACATTGAAAGAGAAAGGAGAGCGCTGGCTGTCCGTTGTAATATGCTGGCCCGTCGGTTCTCACGCTGTACAGCCGAGGTAAAAGTTATTTTATTTAAAGCCTATTGCCAATCCCTCTATACGTGTGCCTTATGGGTCAGATATACGCGGCGGGCATACAACACCCTACGTACACAATATAATAACGCTTTTAGATTGTTGCTGGGGCTCCCACGTTACTGTAGTGCATCAGGTATGTTTGTTGACGCCCACGTAGACAATTTTTCAACACTTATTCGCAAAAGAACTGCATCACTGATGCACAGGGTTCGTGGGAGCGCCAACAGCATTCTTAACGTAATTAGTGAGAAACCCGAGTGTGCTTTTTTGAGGCACTGGGTTCATGTCCATGTACCCATTACCTCGACAGGCACCTCAGGTATATGAACTAATTTATTACCTAATTTTACTTACATATATTTAAGACTGTTTTTTTGTATTTGAAAAAAAAAAATAAATAAAAAATAAAATAAAAAATATTGTATTATATCATTATGGTAAGTTTTGTTGGTGGTTTCGTTAATATATAATTAAATCGGATATGATGTATGTGTAACGGTGAAATGGATTTATGTTATTTTATTATTATTAAATTATTATTTTATTTTCGATATTATTATAAATACTTACGCATTTGATATAATTAATATTATTAATGATTTATAATTTTAGTATTAGAATAAATGTTAATGTATGTTATTTTACCCTATGATCCTTGTTGATTGAAATAAATTAATAAATAAATAAATAAATTAAATTATAAGACCCGTAAACACGTGTGTAGTAACGTTGCACGCTGCACCGTATTATGATTGTAGCTAGAATGAGTTCACGTGACTAGAGTGGGGTCACGCTTGCTCAAAAAGCTTTCCTTAGTATGCGTTAAATGGTACTAATATCTACTTTAATGGTATTTATGATTTACAATCATTATGCAGGTGGCTTGACGGACGAAGTGCTGATACAATTGTTACGATATAAGTGGGATTTGAGCCTATTGCATTCAGATACATTTGTGCCATTAATCTGTTATCAGAAAATCGTTCATTAGCACTATTTATAGTGCGAGAGATCTACGGCTTGTGAAACCCGTGACTAAAGGGTATGTAACAAATCATCATCATCATTATTACAGCTCATTACAAGTCCACTCCAAGAACTAGACGACCACTACGGATACCATGTCGTCTAGTAGATTGACATACCGTGCATGTATTATCAGGTCGTCACCCGTGCGTCTAGAAAGAAAGTATCTATATACTGAGATAGTAATTTCTACAAGCTACGTTGGTTGCTCATGCTCACACTCCGGAATGTATTTTATAGAATGCATATTCTATAGAATACATTCCGGAGTGTGTACTCAGTAGCTAAAAGATTTGATTCCCCCTCTGCAACGGCATGATACATGATACACATTATTTGTTAATAGTTGTGTATATTCCTCCTCCACTTGCAGCGCCACTTGAGTCTTTTGTAATGCATAGGAACGGAATATTTAGCCAGCGTCTGCCAGCTACTTTCTGTAGTCATAATGTGGGTTACGTGAAGAGTGAATAGACTTTTGTTGTGTTAAGATGATTTGTCATGCAGGGTTTCATTCAGCATTCATTACAGGTGGGATTGCAATAAAACACTGACTTAAAATAAAATAAAGTATATCCTATAAAATTGATATTAAATAATAACTAAGTAAAAACAAATTCCAATCACATCAAAACAACTTAATCGTCGTTAGGTCAATTCACTCTTATATACAACTGAGATCATTTCTTGAGGAAGGCAACGGGAGCTTGATATGCAGCAGCAACTAATGGAGAGCTGTACGCAACAGGGGCGGTGTATGCAGCATAGGGAGCAGCGTATGCCGTAGCCACGGGTGCGGTGTATGCTGCAGTGTACGCAGCTGCAACAGGTGCTGTGTATGCTGCAATAGGTGCAGTATACGCTGCAGCAACGACTGGTGCTGCAGGGTATGCCACAGAATGTATACCAGGCTTGGCAGCAACCATAGCGATGAGAGCAAAGAAGACAACCTGCCAAAAAAGAAAAAATATTATGCTACATTCAAAGTAATGAATACCTTACACTAGTTAACTACTAGTTCAGTAGTTATGAAGAGGATAATGCTCGCCACTTCTCTGCGTGATAAATTCATTTAATACCTTGTGTGACCATCAGTTCTGTTACCCATTTAAATGCATATATGTTCCATAATTATACAGTGTAATAATAAGAAAACTTATGTACAGCTGAATTAAAAATGGCCGCCTTTGTCATTGATACAGGTTATTAATCCTGATCAGTAATCTGGCAAAACTATGAACACTATTTCCACGCGGAATTTTGCCACTGCTAGCGTTAAATATTTCTTGTCGTGTCTTATAGTACAAATCACAATTTGTAGTCTGATGTGACCAGATCTAGACTCGACGAGGGCCGGTCTTCAGCTGTTATGAAATCTGGGACATTTTTCCCGAGCTAGGTTCGTGCTTTATAATCAAGAGCCGTCTTGGTAGAAATTCCACGGCTTCGTGACTCCTCGGTAGACCATCCTGCAACCCATGATCAACGCAGATTTATGTCCAAGTTGCAAGGCTTCTTTAGAGCTATGAGCATATACTTAGTTATTTACTTCTTATATTTCTTTTCGTAAAAATAATTATCTGTATATAAAAAATCTCTTCATGTCACTTCCATCAGCGTATCGGAACAAGAAGTGTTTTGATTGAACCACTATTTTAAGCTGCAGGGACTAATTTAAGGCATGTCATGAATGACAATAACTAGCTTCATGTCAGATTTAATAAATAATTGAACACTCTATACGACTTCAAAATTCATAATGTAATTTAAAAATTACATTGAAAAATCATATGCGAAAAGGCGGAAAATCCGTTGAAGTTTTTTTTAACATAATAAACACATTTTAAATATAAATACCCACAAAAATAATTTTTCGGTTTTGAGATTATTTATGACAAGACTAGTTATAATACCCACGGCAAAATATGAGTAAGCAACATAGCTCAGAAGATTAGAATATAATATTATATTGTATATGCTAAAATAAATATTAGTTGCAAACGTATGTACGATTCTGCTTCAGTACTATATTTTTACCTGCTTGAACATTTTGAAGTAGTTTGACTTGTTTTGTTGATCAAAAATAAATGATGTTGATGCATACGATGTCTGAGTTTAAATAGTCAGAGAAAAGAATTAAATTATTCAGTCCTCAGCGAGGGTTTGTTAACTTACTCAGAGCGGCAGACTATGGTTTTGAATGGTGTCAAGTAAGAGTGAAGTATTTAGATAAAAGTAATGATTTAAAGCTTTTATAAATTAAACCTTATTAATGAAAGAATATAACTAAAAGAAATTAAGCTTTCCGTGCGGTGGAGAGAATCTATCGTTCCGACAAATTTCGCAAGAAGTAAAATTTGCGGATCAGCGATGAGAAGCAGCGTAAAAGACTATGCGTCTCCGTATTGCATGAAATTGGTACCACCATCGGCAATTAGCCTGTCAAGCATGATGTGGTGCAGTTAGTAAAATCCTGTCTAAAACGGGAGAAACCCATGTTCAACAGTAAACTTTTGCTTGCTTCAGAAAAAGAAGAACTAAACCAAAACTTTGTCATCTGTAGATCTAAAACGCAAATGATAAAGTTTTTTACAAATTGCGACCTTACTTTTACCTACCGTGTGCAAGTAATTAAAACAAACGAGGCTCTGACGACTGACTGAAATTTCCAAACCCAAGTTCCTCAAACTGATGATAAGCAGCTGCATTATCAAGATGAGTGTCTGTTCTGCGCACAGAAACCTGCCTACTGGAGAACATCTTTCAAGTCTTTCAATCTTTCGTTTTGTGTGTTAAAGGTTGTAATATATTAATCCTTTCATTGTCTCGTGACCCACATATGGTTCATTGATATTGTCTTAATATTGTGTCTACTAGGAAACTAATAGATTTAAAAAATAAACGGACAATAAACAGTGGCGTGTTATGTCATTACTCAGTTATAAAGTGATCAGTGTAGCATATAAGGGTGATAATAAATATTCTCCTAAACGATTTTCAAATGTTATATTAAGTGCACAAGCAAGCCAACGTCCTTTTGAAATCAATCTTCTTCTGAATACTGTGACCACAGCGTGGACTAGTAGTTAAGTGGGTCATTGAAGTACATGCTAACTGTGTTGCGAGTAGAAACTCCCCATTAGGGAGTTTCTACTGAAATCAACATTTTAAAATGTATGAAAATTTATGTAAAGAGAGACGTAATTATCCTCATGTCTTTGTGATTGCATCCGGCATGAAGTATATAATGCCTCCTATTATGAATTTCACACAAACGTTATATAATGTTGTAAATGTAACATGAAAGTTTTTACTATATAAAAATCTATAAAATTAATATTTATTAAAAACTCTTTGAATATTATAGGTTTATAAAGTTAATTGTCGGCTATAGTGAAATATCTTCGTGAGGAAATATAACATGTGTAAATATAGTATACCACCATTATATTTCACTATGCTCGGGGTTGACTGAGGAAGAATGCTGAAAGGCCCGCCAAAAAGTCCGCCCTTTATAACCCTTTCATTTAAGGTGATAGCAATAAAGTATAAATAAATAAACTAAGCCTTTCATCATGAAAATCTTGAAACCCCTATATTTTTTGTATGTTTTGTGCTTCTTTCTCTCTCGCATAAACTTGGCCGATCAACATGCTTGACGCTTTTCGTTCATTGCGTCAGAGGTCAGCGTGCGCGTGCCTGGGTTACTACGAAGGTACGAAGTTCTTACGTTGTTGCATCAAATACCTGGAGGTCAATGTGCCTCTTTCAAGTAGGTCTTTTACGGACTCTGCGTCCTTGTAAGGATTATAAAGAAAATTTTTTCTTTACTTTTACAATGTAATAAATTTAAATTTAGACCAATATATACTTTAATACATCAGGTAAAAAATCTTCCTATTTTCTAAACAAGTGAAGACACTTTATATTTTTAAAGTTACATTCTTTCTTTCTCATTTCATCCTCATTATATTCAGGGAATAATCCTGCTAGTGCTCTTTTGCCGTTCCTTTCTGTCGTCGGTCTAGGTCTTGTATTTTACAACTGACATATAAGTTAGAGTATATCATTAGTAATTGGATAAAAGGAGTATTTCGCACTGTCACCTCTTACTTCGCCCACGGGACGAAATAGGATGATGGGTTATCTTAAATCACCACAGCATGGCAATAGTCTTCTCTTGCTGAACGTCTTTTTATAGTTTCAAATAGACAGAAAAAAATGTTATTGCGTATTTACATGATGTATGTAAATACATAAATTACATTGCTTCCAGAGCCAACAACTATATTGTGGTTGTACACCTACTAACTACACTACAACTACATAATGCGTTGGCTCGACAGGAGAAATACCACGCTCCCACATAATGCGTTGGCTCGACAGGAGAAATATCACGCTCCCACATAATGCGTTGGCTCGACAGGAGAAATACCACGCTCCCACATAATGCGTTGGCTCGACAGGAGAAATACCACGCTCCCACATAATGCGTTGGCTCGACAGGAGAAATACCACGCTCCCATATATACCAGTGCAAAATAGCAATTTAATGCTTAATGAGGCGTTCCATTTAACTCATCAGGGGTGACAATGTATTTTGATCTGCATTTCGATTTTTAACCAAGGATATATAGATTTAGATGTATATGGACCACAGTATTCACTTACTAGGTCGACTATGTGTACGTTTGTCACCCATATTCTATAAAAAAAGATTGCAAGACCTACACAGTCTTGCAGTTTTTCGAGAAAAAGCGAAACGTTAATGACGTTGTAAACTAGTTATGACTGGTATGACTGAGAAAGTTCCATAGGATTTTTCCAGTGGTTTCCAAGACGATTGGTTTATAAGCTATAATTGCCGTGTGACGTCACCGTAAACGAATCCATCACTCCGTTTTATCCCGTGGGTGTTGTAAAAGCCGGAAATAGGTAATGCCAGAAATGGCTTCCGAGGAATGAAGGTAAACATTCTTCACAACAGACATAAAATAACCAACGCGGCGACGGGAAGAAGCGCGAAGGTGCGACACGTCTGGTGTTGAAATCGTCAATGGGCCTGGCTAGTTTAACGATTAAGGCAATCAAAATCCTCTCCTATATTAATACTATCTTATATTGATCCTATCTTATATTAATCCTATCCTATATTAATTCTATCCTATATTAATCCTATCCTATATTAATTCTATCCTATATTGATCCTATCCTATATTACCCTCCTTTTCGCTGCGCAATTCGTTTTGAGATTTTGTGCCTGCTGTGCGCATTTATTTTAGTAGTTTCATCTTTATTCGTGTTGAGCAGTTTGACCATTTAAACGCTGCGAATTAATTCGTGTTGAGCTGTTTAAAGAAATTAAGTATTGCGAGTTTATTCGTGTAGAGCAGTTTATTTTTTTTTGTAATTATTAAATCCTATTTGAATTTTAGTATGTATTCTTCAGAATGCTGGTAAGAACTGCCTGTATGCGCTAGAAATTGATAAATATATTGTGCAGGTTTAGACAAGTTCGTAATTGTTATTATAATTTTTATAGCGAGAATACTCGTCTGGAGCAGCGTACGAAAATAAAATTAGAGCGAGAATATCCGTGTAGAGCAGTTAACGCAGTAATATTGGTAGCCTTAAATACGTATTAAACAGCAAAAATAATCGTATAGAGCAGAAAACATGAATAATACATAGTAAAAATAGTCGTATTGAGCAGCTAACTAATTTAAAACTAAGCGCGAAAATATTCGTCGGGAGCGTATGATACACAAGTTTTTTTTGCGAATATATACGTGTGGAGCAGCGAAAGGGTTAACGGGAGAATTCCATGTCCAGCTGTGAACTTTAACAGGCTGATGATGATTACAATTTAAAGATTTTTGTATAAGATCCCGGCATGTGTTTCTTTAATAAAACCATTGCATTTTGTTCGGACCTAATCCGACATTGGTGATTATTATGACAAATTATTTTCTAAAATATAATGAATTGCAAAAAATAATAGAAAATAATAATTAGTCCGATGCCGTATTTTACGAAAGCAACGTTGCCTTCAATTTAATCAGTACGTTTCATAGACATAATAATTTAGGCTTAGCAGAATTTGATATTATCTTCAAAAGTATGATGAGTTTGCTCTTGTTTTGTTTACAATGAGAATTTAAGTTTATTATCGTATATTTTAAGATGTTTTTTTAACCTTTGTTTGATGTAACAGGCTAAATCAAAATTGATTACGTATTGATTACGTACGTTTCTAGTGTTTGTTTAATCACAATAAACATAATATGTCTTCTTCTCTAGCTAAAAACTATAAAGCGACGTGTAAGTAGGTAAAACACCAAAAATACTTTTTATGGATATTCATCTATTTCAGCCGATAAAATAGAATCCAATTGAATGGAAAAAAATTCCATCTATGTTTCATGAAATGGAAAATATTCATAAATTTAAAAAAGAATTTCAAACATTTCTAATTGAGAAATGCTACTACTCAGTAGATGAATATTTAAGTGACGCATCAGTAGGCATATTATAATGACATTGCATAACATACAATTAATTTGACATTCGATTAGACTATATATTATTGTAAAAATTAGTTATTACATCATTGTTGAATTTTCTTCTTCTATAATATAAATAATAAAATGAAATAATTGTGGAAATGCATATATATAAGATCTATTCTGTCTCAAGTATATCAATCACCTTTGAGTTTCTGACGATATAGTACTAATGGCAGAATCACTGGAGGACCTAAGCACTATGCTCAATGACCTCAGTAGTTCCTCCCAACGGATAATCCTAAAGATGAACATAAACCAGTAGGCGAAGTGTAGAGCGACCCCCCAGTAGATGGAGTAACGACCTGGTAAGACATGCAATAAATCGATAAATGGGGTATGAAATATGATTTATCAAAATGTACGGAGCAAATGGTGCTAGTTCGTTTAGGTATCCAAGATTCATGATTGTTACAAGCTGCAAAGTCTGCCGCTTAAGAGGATTCTCTTAAGCGGCAGACTTGAAATATGGAAAATCAGTTTTTG